AAAAAAAAAAAAAACAAAAACAAGATGATGACATTTTTGACAAAATATAATAGTTTAATAACATTTTCTTAAGAAATATTTGTACTAAATAATGAAATAAAAGAAAGAAAAATGGAGTTCTTCGGATGCTCGAACGGAATAGAGGAACGCGAACGGACAGCAAGGTGGTGACTTCGGACGGAGGGTTGTGCGTCGCCGGAGCAGTTTCTCGAAGCAAAGGTTAGGAAAGCGGAGTCGCCGGAGAGAGAGTTGTTTTGAGTTGTACACGCGTGTATGATTCGGTCTCGTAAAAATTTAGCCACGCCACAACGCGGGCTCAGCCCGCCCCACCCCAACCCCCGTCCTGACGCGCGTGCCGTGCCGAGCCAGACGGACGGCAGCGGCACGCGAGGAGTCCTCTTTTTGTTCCTTTCAAAAGCTTAATTAAGTGCTCAAGTTTAAATATGAGAATGTGAAAGGTTCAAGATCCGGTGTGGGACAAAGACTTTTACTCTTCCCATGTGTTCGACTTTGTGAATTAATTTCTCATTCACCCGAGCACCATTTTTGGCGTGTAATGTGTCGAAACACTTATTTCACTTACGAGATTAAACGTCCATAATTATTTCGGAAAATAATTTTGTGAACCCTACCGAATTTATGTCCGAAAATTGTCCAATTTATCAAAATTTCCAACAATAACAGCCCCAAGAAGAGCCATAAAGTCGTGAACAGAACATATTTAGTTACAATGATAAGCTGTTTCTCGAATTAAGCAGCCGTAGCTTCGTAATAATAGCAAAACCAAGGGGTAGACATTGTGTCTGTTTGGTAGGGGTTGTTTAACTGAGATAAGTGGATATAATGAGTTTTTTTCAGCATAAAAATACCATCTGGTGACATCCATTTCAGCCACATTTAGCTAAGCTACTACTGTGTTTTCTTGTCTTTTCTATGTTAATCCTAATGAATCTTCCTCTCTATGATTTCGTTCTTTTGTCATTGATAAAATGTGCACACCAACAGCGATGATGAGCCTTTGCATTTCAAGAAGATGCACGAATTTTCTACAGCGGACGGTTTTGTGGAGATAGCCGAGAGCTTAGCAGAAATGATAAGTTTTTGGCAAATGAACCTTCGGCGGGGCTTTTCTACATCCAACAACATGTTCATAATGCAATCCCCAACCTCGCCAATCTCAAAGCAAAGGTTGCAGATAGATGCCGCGAGGCAACTCTTCGCACGGAAGATTCTGAGGACTCCATAGCCATGGCTAGATCAATGAAAAACTGTGGCTTTCGAATTTCTCCTGAGATTGAGGAGCCTTCTTCATCTTCATTTGCTGCTGCTGATGAAGAAGAAGAAGAAAAAGAAGCAGACAAGGATGATGACCTGCCCGTGTCAAGTCTGATTCATCCCTTTTTGAATGGATGTTATGAGGAGATGAGCTTAACAGCTAGACTGGAAGACTGGTTGGAAGAGACAGGGGATCGAAAAGGATAGTTCAACGGCGGGTGTAAGGGTATAATGGTCATTTTATGTGGTTGGGGGGGGGGGGCTCAAGTTTGAGGTTAATACTCTTGGCTACCCTTTCCTATGAAAAGGTTGTGCATCCCTGTTATCATTGTTGTGAATCGTTATAACAGAATATTGAAGGAAGTTGTCAGTAAGGAAAAAAAACAATTCTTCAACTTCCAGAGACAGTTGTGCATTCCTAACCAAAGTATGCAGAGTACACAACATTAGGTTATTTTGTTAGACTCTACCATTACGCTATGGAGAGAAAGACCAAAGTAGGACTAAAACATTGAAAATATACCAAAATAGGACTTCCATATTTTTATTCTCGAAATAGGACTTACATTACCAAACATGGTCATATACATTACCAAAAAAGTATAGTAATTTGTACATGTACACTGTCACATTACCACAATGCAAAGTCACATTACCATAGTGCAAAGTCCTATTCTAGGAAAAAAACATGAAAGTCCTATTTTGGTACTTTTCTCTATGTTTTAGTCCTATTTAGGATGATTTCTATACGCTATGCTTGGTTTGAGGAATTAGGAAGGAAAAGAATTAGGGTAATTTACTTAAATATGACTAAAACATAATGACTTTCTCAATATAGGAACATATGTTTTTATTTCTCAATGTAGGACTATTGGTTATTATCTATTAGTCATTATTCAACTAAATGTCCAGAATCACTCAGACATTATTCTTCTCACTAGTCATTATTTAAGTCTTATTTAGAGAATAAAAAAGTTTAAATCCTACATTGAGAATCAACCAAAATGGAATCAACCTTGTATTCCATCATCTTAACTTGTTCTTTCTCCTAATTTTCTTTTCTTTTCCAACCAAACATGAAAAGTTGTTGTTCATGTACTCTCTTCGTTCCATATTCGGTGCCACATTCCGAACAACATGTAAAATCTCACTGTTTGTAATATTATTTTAATTACAAATTAGTTTAGAAATAAAAAGTATAAATTACACCGTTTAAGAGTACATAAAATAAGATGTGACAATAATATTTTATTTTATCAAATTATCAATAAAAATATACGAACAAACAAAAGTTATCGAGATGCCATAATAGTGATAGTGGTATCCATTTCATAACGGAAGGGGCAATTCTCTTTTCTTTGTCTCTCAAATTTCTTAGTGTTAATCACACTATGTTTGGTTTGAGAATTTTGGAAGGTAAAAAAAAAGGAATCACTATCTTCACTCACCAAAACGGTAAAAAGGTAAATTTCTATAGTTAACTATAACTATTGAAAATCATATACTTTAAATTTTTATGATACGTTAATTTATTTTTGACCAAATTTAAGTAATTTAATTGAACTTTATATTATTCCGTACTCCCTCCATCTCAATTTAAATTGTTTGTTTCATTTTAGAATGTTTGACTAAAGTTATTCTAAATTATCTTATATGAAAAATGGTATAGAATTAAAAAATAAAAATAACTTATTTAAAAACTACATCAATCTAAAACTAGTGGTGACATGATTATATTATGTTATCAAATGACTAACTAAAATAAAAAAGAAAGTAAATGAAATTTGACTATGTAAATAGTAAACAGATAATTTAATTTGAGATAGAGTAAGTATAAAAGAATTTGATTTTGCCAAAAGGGACGGAATTAGCATACCCTTATTTTAATTTCGGACCGGTTCCCATGACATTCAGAATCACCCAGGGGTGCTTCGGTGTCCCGTTCGTAAAATTGACGATTTCTAGCCCCCAGTAAACTCTTCACCCCGTCCCGAAACGAACACACACCTTCACCCCCTTCAATTGCACTCCCAAGTTAATTTTGACTTTGGAGTCAAATTTTGACTCCAAAATCAAAATTAAATTGAGGGTGCAATTGAAGGGAGTGAAGGGGTGTGTTCGGGTTGGAGTGAAGGTGTAATACCCGTATTAAGATGGGAATGGGAAGAGCTCAAATGGATTGATAGTACTACTCATACCAACAATGTGCATCTTCTTTTCGAGAGCTCATCACCTAGAAACTCCAAAGTTAAGCGTGCTTGAAGTAAAAATTGTCAATTTTACGAATGAGGCATCAGAGCATCCTCGGATCATCTCGGGAACCAAGCCCTTTTAATTTTGTAGATAATGGCTGACAGGCTGAGTTAACACTTTGGATCGGGAGTCGGGACAAACTAATAAAACGTCCGGATCCGGATCCGGACCCGGTATGGAATGTGCTACTGTTTGAAGTGAATCTGGTGATCTCCGCCTTCCTGGGCGCTAAGTTTTGCAGGAGAGCTGAGAGTAGAGAAGAGAAGGAGACGGAGACAAAATGGCGCAAATCCCAAATCTCGACAATGCTCCCATAAACCTCACCTCCATAAGGTGAATATTTATCGCATATTCCATCTCTGATTATTACGGAGTATTATTACTGTTATTATTATTATCATGTTAAAATTTTAAATTCCACTTCCTTTCTGCACATCCGCGTTTGATCTGGATGACAAATTGTTGCTGTGTTGGTATACAGAGATCAATCGCAGAAGGAGCTCATGATGATTTTGAAGAACGTAAGTTTTATACCTTTTTTCTTCTTATGAACTCATCTGTGCTGCTTTACACTGATGCAATGCCTAATTTGCGAGTTTTCCTGTCAGCTTGTCGTAGTGCTCGATGAATTTGTCTCAGTTCTGTAATTTTTATTTTAAGAGTGTTGCTTTTTCTTTTGGAAAATTGCAGATTCGAGGGCAGAAGTGTTTGGTTATTGATCCTAAGCTCAGTGGTTCACTCTCACTTATTGTGCAGAGCTCAATACTCAAGGCATCATTCTTTATCTCGACCTGCCACTTTTTGTTACTCATTCATTTGGAGCTATTTATTTTCTTAACTGCTATACATTTTACATTTCAGTTATATGTAGCGTATCAGTGGATTAACATTGAAACTTTCATCGCCCAAATGCCCAACTTCTTAAGATCAATTATTATTATTGTTGGTGTTTTATCATAATCATTATTATTATTATTTCAAAATGGCTACTTGAGATGATTAGGTGAAAGTAAACTGTTGAGAGAATATTATGTGTTGAGGAGCAAATGGACCAGCAATGATGGGTTTGCTATATTGTTAATTTCAAACTTGTTTGTTGGAAACCTTAAACAGGAGCTAGGGGCTGAATTGCGGCACCTTACAAGTGAACCAATCCAAACAGATTGTACTAAAATTGTTTATCTTGTTCGAGCTCAGCTTGGCTTGATGAAGAGTATTTGCTCAGACATTCATAATGATACTTCTAAGGGGATTCAAAGAGAGTATTTTTTGTATTTTGTTCCTCGCCGTGCAGTTGTATGCGAAAAGGTTTGCTCCCTAATCCGACGCGGAATTGTTTTATGCTTTAGAGGATCAGATCTTGGCATAGTTTTTTTCTGAACTTGCATGCAACATAGGTACTAGAGGAAGAGAAAGTACATCACTTATTGACCATAGGCGAGTATCCCTTGTATCTACTTCCTCTGGATGAAGATGTTTTGTCTTTTGAACTCGATACTGCATACAGAGTATGTCTGATCCTTGTTTTTCTTGATGTTTCACAACATTTTTTCGCATTTAAGACATACATATAAATGTAGTTTCATTTTTCCTGATAGGAATTCACAGTTGATGGAGACAAAACCTCTCTTTGGCATATAGCAAAAGCCATTCACAAGCTTGAGGTTTTTCTTTCACAACTTTATCAGCATTTGGCATATAAACATAGATGAAGATAAACATAAAGAAAAGTAGGTTCTGCAAAAGCACTTCCGTTCACTCTTTCTATTGATGTCTTAATTGAAAAGTGCAGTGTTCCTATGGTGTGATACCAAATGTGAGAGCCAAAGGGAAAGCATCTGTCCGTGTTGCTGACATTTTAAATAGGATGCAAGATGAAGAACCAGTGAACATCACCGATGTATTTAAAACACGGTGCCTTTGAGAATACATAAAAACTGAGTGCCTCATAAACCGTAGGTTAATATTTCTTTTTGGAATTTATTCACACGCAGGTTGTTGTGCCAGAGATTAACACTCTCATCCTCATTGACAGAGAGGTATTCACTCCCTTCAAGAAATTTCTTGTTTTCAACGTTTCCTTTTATTTTGTAAAAAGTTGCATATACATGCATTGTGAGGGAATGATGTCGAGAGAGGTTTGATAAGTCTTCTATATAAGACATGGTATGAAAATGTTTTTAACGAATTCTAAAATTCATTCCCTGCTGCAGGTGGACATGGTTACACCTATGTGTTCCCAGTTAACTTATGAAGGGCTAATGGATGAGGTAAAAAGCTATTTTTGTAATTACTATTCTCACGTGTTAAAGTGAATCATAGGTGCTGTATATATTTTATTGGTATCATACAGTTTCTTGGTATCAATAATGGTGCTGTGGAGGTAGATTCTTCTATAATGGGTGCCCAGCAAGAGGGGAAGAAAATGAAGGTTCCTTTAAATTCTAGGTAATTTTTCCTCTAACTGTTAATTGGTAGAGAAGTCTTATCTTTAATTTGTATTACTATGAAGTTATAAGCTTTTCAGGGTTGAAATTGGCTTTACTAAATTTTTTGAACTCTAACAAGCATTTTTAGCTCTTAGGACTTCTTTATTGTATGAACTCTTTGAGTATTTTCAATAATAAAGTTTAGGCTTGCAAGTTTCAGTCATGACTTTTACCCCTAAATATGCTTAGCCATGCATAGCACATAGTTACCTCTTGGTCTGGCTGACCTAGTATGTCCTTGCAGTGACAAGCTATTCAAAGAGATACGGGATCAGAATTTCGAAGTTGTCGGTCAGGTTGATCTGTCATTTCAGTTCTGTTTTAAAAGTTTAGGCGATTTTGGACATCTTTTTCCATGTCATCTTCATAATGTTTCCTTTTCCATGTTCCGAATTTGCATAATCGGTTCGTTCTTTTTTTTGTGGTCTTTTAATTGCCATTTACAGTGCAATTGCAGGTTTTACGTCAAAGAGCAACATCTATGAAACAAGATTACAATGAGATGCAAACAGCTGTAAGTCCTTGTAATTGTTAAATGTGCATAGATGCCTATTGCTTCAATACGTGATTAGAATTATATATAAATATTAGCATGCTTTAAAAAACACAATTTTGTAGTCATTTATATCCCAGCAACTAGTTAATTAGACCACTTAAAGTGGAATTAATAGAGAAGGCTTATCACATAAAATGAAGACTGGGATGCAGACTCTTTGATACTCTCATTTTTGCAGCTCCAAATCAACTAATTTAATACTCCGTAATTTATTTTAGGTTTTTACCTATGTTGTGTGTATCTTGTAGTGAATGACTGTGTGAGAGAGATTTTTGAATGAATATGTTATATTGTAAACCTTACAGTTAATTGGTTGTGAATTTTATGCAGAACCAAACTGTTTCTGAATTGAAAGACTTCGTTAAAAAACTCAACTCATTGCCTGAAATGACAGTAAGTTCATTTATACTCTTGGATTTGGTAACAGCCATTTGCAGTATTTCCAAAAAAAGTGTGATACTAATATTTTTCTCTCATTTCCAGAGGCATATACATCTTGCTCAGCATTTGAATAAATTTACATCTAAACCTTCATTTCTTGGGCGGCTAGATATGGAACATACTATTGTGGAGTCTGAAAGTTACGATATGTGAGTTAATTGGAAAACTTATCTTATTATTGGTTTGAAAGGCCCTAAGTTTTGAAAGGGTCTCAAATTTAGGTTTATAGGTGTTCATGTTTTCTTAAACTACGTGTATAGATTCTTTAATTGATTATTGTTAAATATTGACTGAAAATAGCTCAGTATGGATAATATGTTTTTCTGTTGCTGTTTTAGTTGATCTTTTTTACTATAAATATAAGTTATCTCAAATAATAATTTTCCAATAAAAGTATTGCCTGTGATCATTGGCTCATTGAAAGGATAGAGTACCAGTTCAATCTTATTTATTAAGGAGTACAAGTCAATGCTTCAAATGATTGTGTTGGTGTGTGGGTGGGGCATTATCTTATGACAATGTCTACTAGAAATATGAATCTTGATATGAGAAATGAAAATGCATAGAGTAGAGGAATTAGTTGAATTGCAACATATACAATGTGACAAACATGGTTAGGAGAAGAAGACGATGAATGAAAACTATGAACATAAAAAGCTACTTGTCCTTGGGAGAGTAAGGTTTCCTTCTTGCCCTTGGAGGAGTAAGGTTTCCTTCTTTCCCTTGGGAGAGGGAATTTGTGTTTGATTTTACCAAAGACGTATATGAATTAACTCCAAAATTATTGATGGCATTACTATTGAACAGAACCCCTCCATTTATAGTTTTATACTAGTCCCAAGAATCTCGGTGAGCAAGTACTGGAGACCTTACTGTTACAATATTCATATTAGGAATATAATAAAAAGAATCCCGATATGAATATGAGATTATTGCTAATACTAATATTAGGAAATTAGTACTAGTAATACTAATAATAGGAAATTTTACTAGTATCTATACTGTATAAAGCTTTACAAATTACAACATCTTTGTGTCACTAATAAAATCTACTCTTGAAATGGATGTATGCACTTTTATCCCATTAGTTTATGCAAAAATGAAGAGTCCCCCCTTATATTTCCTTCTTTATCTCTTTTGTGCTACACTGCTAATAGAGTTTCTGTGATTTTCTTGTCAAAGTACTTTTTCTTATATTTCTGCTACAGTTTGCATCTTTTGTTATGGAAGTGACCCCATTCTCTATTTTTTCTGAAGTTGGTTCATCTCTTTTTTCCTGAAATAAATGGAACTAAATTTTTCTTTTTCCATGACAAGCATTTGAGTAATATGAAATATGTGACACTATGATGATTGATGACCAATACGAGGCATCCTTGTAAGCTCATCTTGTCGTCTGTATCATTTAACCCTAGTTTAATGCATCCAAAAACATTTGCAGCATTCTAGTCTTGCATTATTGCATAACAATAAAAGATAAAGTGAAATCTAATGCTTCATGTGATGCAGATGCTTCGAGTACATCGAGGAGATGATCCATAAACAGGAACCTCTTGTCAATGTTCTACGCATTCTCATATTATTTTCGATCACAAATTCTGGATTACCAAAGAAGAACTATGACTACTTAAGGTGAGTGGGATATGAATGCCATTTTCCTCTATTTCAAATATCTCTAATTGGTATGTTGTTGGATATTATTGAAAAAATTAACAAATTTATGTGTCTTGTCTTTTGTAGGCGAGAGCTACTTCACAGCTATGGTTTTGAGCACATTGCTACATTAAACAATTTGGAAAAGGCGGGATTGTTCAGGAAGCAGGTTTGTGGTACAATACTACGATGGTTGGTACATTGCTCTATTTGGTGTATTGCTCAGTTCCATAACATAGTGAATTTGGCATTTGGTCTTCGTCTTAGGAGTCTAAAAGCAACTGGATAACTATTAAACGTGCTCTTCAGCTTATTGTGGAGGNAACTTCAGAAAATGTTGTGATCGCACATGTGCTTTGCATTTTATGCAGTGACTGTTGTTGGTTTTAGCCGCATGCAATTATTCTGCTTCTTTAAAGGCTCAACTAAAATAAACACTGCCACTCATAGTACTTGTTAAGCTGAATAAATATATTAAACTTCAGAAAAATTGTGAGAATTTACTATATGAAGCCTTAAGGGGTCTTATATTCATCCTTGAAATTGTGTTACATTTGCATCTTCCGTCTTCTTGTCAAGAAGGAATTAGGAAATCAATTGTGTTCATATTTGGAATGGAAGACATCAAAAGAAAGAGTTTTTCCATTGAAAAAGCAGATTGTATTCAGCTAAGATTATTAGGCCAAAATTGGCAATATTTTATTTCTGTATCTGATCTTTAAGGAGTTGACGTGTCATTAGTGTATCTATACTATCTAATAATGTTTTAATCTGACTATTGTATTATTCTCCGTATATAATTTACTCAGATATTTACTTTGTATCTGATTCTGAACATTGTGTGCGTAATGCAGCCCCAGAGATACTTCTTATGTCTTTTCTGGATATGCACCTCTCAGCATTCGCCTGGTTCAGCATGCAATCCGATCTGGGTGGTAATCTCTTTTTTAAGAGCTCTGTTGGATAGTATTGACCATATTGCTGTATATAATTTTGTAATTACTGTAATTGAATTAATGTTAGTGATTTTGTTATTTTAATTTGCACTATAATCTTATATCTGAGTCAATGGAGTGTAAAGAGTCATCTTTGACAATGTTTTAGCTTTGAGTAAAGAATGGATTAAATCAAAATGACACATTAAACTTCTCTTGCTTCTTACTTTCTATGAAGTTTTGGGCAGTAAATACATCAATGCATTAAGGGTCTAACAGAAACAACCTCTCTGTTTTTTCCAGAGGTAAGGTGAGTACATCTCCCCCAGTCCCCAATGGAGATGGGATTATACTGGCTTGCTGTTGATGTTTTTTGGTGTTTTACTATGATCTTATATCTACATAAATGATTTCTATCTACAACTGATTGTATTTTGGGAAAGTGGAACATACTTGGGAAGTAAAATGAGCTTGTACCATTAATGTATGTGACATTTACTTTTCTTGATAGAGAACCAATCTAATCATGTATGAAGTACTTTTGTACAAAAGTTTTAATTGCATTCTTTTTTCCATTTAGTTGGGGGTAATGTGCCATGAACCTTCTACTAGTCCAGTACTAGAATTTACCGTGTTGATCAATCTCAGTTTCATTATCATAGCTTTTATCTACTTTCATGGAAAGTATCATGAGATGATGAGATGAAAATGAGTTTAAATAATTGGTACAGTCATGCATATACCTAAGAAGGTAAACCGGTTATACATATAAATGTTACAGGTGTCCCATTGAAGAAATATTAAGACTGCTGCCAGGGCCCCATTCAGACAGCAAGAGGGTAAGCCTTCATACCTTCATTTTTCAATTCATATAGCGAGACCACATAGAAGTCCGAAATGTATTTGCATGAATCTTTACAGAGTGGGTTTGCAAGCAATCCGTCCTATGACAGTCTGCCAGGGTCCATAGACTACTCTGACAAGTAAGGCTCAAGCAATGTTCTGACCTTGTGTACGTATTTTATGCATGTACTAATTAATTAATATCTCCTACTCCGTAGAAATATAGTGTGTTCCATGTGCCTTTATTTCAAGCACAAACCTAGAGCTTCTAAACACAGACGGAAGCACCATTAATTTGCATTCAAAGTAAGATAAGGAGAAGAAAAGATGCTCATAAAATCTAATAGTTGGATATTCCTTAAATAGCTATCTTGAGCATTGCATAGTACTGTTATTTTTAGTAGTTAATGTATTGCATTCCCTTCTGTTTCATCTGAGTTAAGGCCCGGTTCTTGGTCCTTCCCCTAAGATGTGCAGCATTAAAGATACAATTCTCACTCCAAATCATTGTTTTTTGCCACACCTGTTGGCATTTCAGAATAGGTGATGGAAGGCGGTCATTGGTGCTTGTTGTTTTTATTGGTGGGGTGACCTTTGCTGAAATTAATGCTCTTCGATTCCTGAGTTCCCAGGTAGTTTTTTCTAGTTCTTTCATTAATCAAAACCGAATCGCTTCTGCCTCTATTCACATGTTTTCAATTTTAATAGTCTTGTTTAAAAAAATATGAATACGAATAGAAATTTATAGTATTGTGTTTACCCATTTGCTTTGAAATATTACGAGCATTGTACTAAATATCACCAATTTCAAAACTTCTTTTTTATTTCAAAAAAGTTAGTTCAACAAAAGAAGCAAGCATTGAATTTAATGTAATTTTTTCAAAAAAGGTTCTTCAAGTATGTTTGGTTTGAATTTAGAAATAAAATAAATTTACTCCGTAATATTTTAAGTTGAATCGGTAATTAACAATAGTTTTACCTTCCCAAAATAAAAAACTATACATTGAAGGGAATTGACTTTTTATGGGATGGGGCGTGTTTCTTTAAATACAAACACTAACGTTTTGTCCCAATTGACGGGTGACTCAAGCCTCTATAATCTTTGACAGAGAATGTATTAATTTTTATACCCTGTCTGGGCACTCAATGAGCTGTACCATACGCGACATGAGTTCTTTCAATAAAAAAAATCTTAATTACTTCATTAAACCAGATGAAACTTTTGCTTTTAGGAGGGTTATATTGGTCAATTTCCTAATGTGTTGATGCATGTGCAGGAGGGTATGCCATATGACTTGATTGTATTGACTACAAAAATAGTTAACGGGCACACGTTGACAGAAACATTCATGGAGAAATTGGGGTGACTGGTAAAGAAGATACTTTTTAGTGTGGCTTCTTCTTTGTTGTTTTAATGACATTGTTTCTTTTGGTATGACCTTTCTTGCAACCATTTTGTTTGGAGTGTGATTGACTTTTAAAAAGCAGGGTTGATAAAAAATGACCTTGATTGAGGTGTAAAGGAGAATTTCAGTTGGTACAAAAAAGATGACCTTGGTATATAGGAGTATGTTTTTTAAATTGGTTTATGTAACCAGATCTCTTAAACCAGAATTAAGGTGATATTGAGTTGAGAGTTAGAATTACAATAGTTCAAAGATACAGTTGAAGACTTGAAGTACAAGGTGGATTTGCAAAGGGTACCTCCATTTGGTACATGGAATTCAAACTATGGAATTAGAATTGAAGACAACAATTTCAATTTTGTTGTTGGATAGCACAAAAATATGTGGATTTGTAACGGGTAGTGCCAAAAATGAATTGGAATTGAAAATTTCAATTCTATCCCATTCAATTCCATAAAAACTCCCAATTCAATTCCAATTCTGTCGATTTCATGTACCAAACAGACCCTAAGTGATGTTATGAATTTTTTCAATTGAATCTGTATTTAACCAATCCCAACTCCATTGATTTGGAATTGAGACTTTTGGGTTCATTTTAGTGATAAACCGCATGTATTATATCATTCATAGATAGATATAACCTGGCAAAAAATGACCCGACCTGTTTTTTATCTGAGATCCGACTCGAAATTACTAGATTTTGGACAAAAATTTTACTGACTGAACCCGAAGTTGATTGGACCCAAAATGACCCGCTAAAAATAGGTCAAACTTGATCGAACCCAAACTTGACCTGACCAACTCGTTAATATAAGATTTTTTTAGAATCGTATATTTTGATATGAAATATAGTGTTATAAAAATAAGATTATAATTACATTTCTTTGCTTACTACTCCTTTTTTGTGAATAGATTTATATATTCATACCAAATTTTAATGATATCGCATAATTATTTTACATTTTTCAAACTTCTAAATATTTAATTTTTTTGTATTATTGACATTAGGTCATAAAAATTACTTAAAATTTTGAAAAAGATAAATGAAAATCATAACCCGTTGGGTCAACTTGAACCCAATGACACTGGGTCATGAACAAATAATTTTCAACCTGAACCAAAACTTGTCAGAATTTGAAGTAACTTGAACCCAAGATGGCGAACCCGACCTGACCGACCGGTTTGCCAGCTCTAGATAAAATAGACATAGCAAGTAATATATCCATTCCATGAATTATTTTGAAAGCAAATTGGGCATCCAAAGTGATGAGCACACTTATAAAACACAACCTTGAGTTGCATAATTAGATAAATCTCCCAAGTTAGATACCATTTTTTGCCAAGATGGCTTACACATGGGCCATTTTTACAATAATCTACAAGTTCTAAACATTTCTTGTTTATTTTTGTTCGAGCGATATTCTCTAATAATATCTGTCAATGGACTGGGCGCTCTTGTTGGAACGGATATCTGTCAATTCGGATGGAAAACATCGTGCCCAGACTCCTATCGCACCTACTCCTCCAGCACCGCCTGCCCCTAGCACATGTCCATGCGCGAGAGGGGTAGGAGCAGGTGCGATAAGAGCGCCTAGGCAGGAACATCCCAGGACCCAATTTAGGGTTTAGGGTTTAGGGACAAATATCATACCAGCAAGAACGCCCAACAAAATGACTTGCAAAGAAAAATAAGAGTAAATCTGATTAGAGAATATCACTCAAACAAAAATAAATAAGAAGTGCCCAAAACTTACATATTGTTGTAACAGTTGGGCATCCAAAATAATGAGCACACTTAAAAAGGAGTACAACTTTCACTTCAGAAATGACAGAAATGAGGAGCAGCCATGCATAATTAGATAAATCTCCAAAGAAGAACCTGGATACCATTTTTTTTCCTTTTTTATTTACATAATAATAGAGTACAGGCATATATCTATATCGAATCGCTGCCTTCCCCGTGCTTGACAATCAAGAAACAGATGGTCGTGGCAGCCTCTTCGCAATCTCCTGTTACAGAAAAATACCCCCAAAAAAAAAGAAAATTGAAAAGAAATTCATCATTCCATCAATATTAAAGCTCCTATGCATGGGGAAGAAACACACCTCGAACAACTGGTTTATATTGTCTGCTGTCTTAGCAGAGGTTTCTATGAAGAACATTTGATTCTTTTCAGCATACTCCTTTCCATCCTTCATAATGCACACAGTAAATCAAGTGTTGGTAACTTAAAAAAGAAGTTTTCAGAAGAATTAATTGAAGGACGGACAGTCTTGCTCACTTCAACAGATACTTCTCGTTTTTCATTGAGATCGGCTTTGTTCCCCACAAGGCCGGGCCATGATTATATCTGGGCTTCCATGCTTCTGCAATTCCTACAAATGCCATTATGCGAAAGTTGGTCACTTATCTCATATTTATACAAACACATACTCCGTATTCGGCAGCGTAAGTATGGTAGGCCGTATACTAATACACTCCCTCTGTCCCAAATTAGTTATCCTGTTTCGAACAACGTGCAAAATCTCCTCTCTTTTAAAATGATTTTATTTACGAATTGGTATAAAATAAAAAGTACAACTTACATATTTAAAAGCTACATCAAAAGTTCGACACATGCCTATTTTGTTTTATCAGTATGCAAACAAAAGTTATTGAAAGTTTCAGATATTGAAGAGGACGACTAATTAGTACGAGTATGTTTTTATAGGGCACCAAGGGCCCTAAATCTTCATAAGCCAGGACCGTAAGGAAAAGACTTCCCCCCACCCCAACCTACTCTGCAAGATAGAGGTCTGAAATGAGCGAGAGCATGTGCCAATCTAATGGCAGTACGCTTGACATCAAAAGGAATCAAAACTCTAAAAATAACCCAAAATGGCAGAAATCAAACCAAGAGAAGAATCATTATCTGCACCACTCCAATCACCAC